CCCCCAGGCTGGGAGGTCCAGGCCTCCGGGCCCTGCCTCGCTGCGTTCCCTCTGGCCCCGTACCTTCTTTCCCTTTCCCTTGCATCAGGCAGAACTGTGAGTGGGGGCCCATCCTGGCTGGGAGCAAAGGAAGCAGCTACAGCCTTGGCCCAGTGGAGCTGCCCACTACTGGGGCTGAGTCTACACAGAGCTACACAGCCCTGGCGAGAGCCTGCTCGCGGGGCTCCACCTGGGCGCTGGGCCGTGTTCTCTCGAAACCTCATCCATTTGTTTCACGGGCGACATTCGATCTTCCCGAAACAGGACCCAGCAGACAACTGTGAACCCGCACACAGCCATGTCCTTGGGGAGCCCTGTGCACCTTCTCAGCCCCAGAACCCCTGCTTCTGTCCCAGCTCCCCGATCCTCCAGCACTGCTAAACCCCCCCACCCCCCCGTCCTCTCAGCACCGTCCCCAGCCCGCTCCAGCGTGTCCTTGGCGAACTCTACCCCAGTCCTCCCAGCCCGCTCAGTGGGTGCTGTGGGCCCCGGCAGCGGCAGGGGGCATGCACGCCTGCAAAGGGAAATAGGAAATGAAATCGCTTTCCTCCCCCAACGACCTCCCAGCTCTACCAGCAGACCCATCCCTTGCAGAGTGCATTGTTTTCAATCCAATCTCGTTTTTATTGAAGTTTCCTCCAGGGTTAGCTCAGGAGACGTCTCCCCCTAGCCTCTTCCGAGTGGCCTTATTTACCAGAATCCCCTCATCGTGGCATTTAACGTCCCCATTAACATTTCGTGCATCTTGCTCATTGCGTGCATGGGCCCTCAGAGACCTCCGGGGTGGCGGGCACACGGCAGCCCGCAGAAACGCCAGGCTTATTTTAATTGGTTTGAAACTGTCGCTGTCGACCACAGAGGGGTCCCTTTCCTTGACTAATGACCTGGAATTTGATCATGCGGCTTTTATTAGCTTGTAACATGGAACGTGTAACCGTGTGAGATCAGAGCCAAAGCCAGGCACACATCTGCCCTCCATGGCACTCTGGCTGGGCACACATCTGCCCTCCGCGGCACGCTCGAGAAGGTGTGCCAGCCACGCAGGACCCACGTATAGGAGAAAGTGCCACCCTGTAGGTGGCGGAGGGTGGCTCTGGGGGGAAATTGCCTTGAATTTCTGGCCACGCAGGGTCCTGTCTCTAGCACCTCCCGGAGACCCCCCCCAGGAGGCACCAAGGGTCAGCTGCCTGTGGCAGAACCACAGTCCCATCAGTTGGGGGAAGCAAGCGGTGGGCTGATTCCTTGTCTGCTTGAAGATGTCTGCTTGCCAGGGGCAGGGAAAGCTGTCTCCGCTCCCAGAACTTCCTGGCGTCTAACTCGGTGTGGGGAAGCTTTGCTCAGAAGATCACTGCCCGGGGCCCCAGGGCACTGTGCCTTTCCCTTGCATTTCGTCGTGCAGAGGAACGTGAGAGCCCCTGAGTTCAGGGAAGCGCCGGTGGTCTAGCATCTAGAATGTTCCAGTGCATGGTTCCCACCCCACGCCCCGGCCCTCGTCTGGAATGCAAACGAGACCTCCCATCTGCTCAGGCTGGTTGCTTGTAAGGAAAACCTCCGTGGGCAGTTGAAGAAACAATTCTAGACTAGTTCGTGGCCCTTTCAATGGAGGGAGGGTGTCAGGGGACGGTCTGGTTCCTTCCAGATGGTGCTGCTGCCCGTGCACCTGTCCTGCCCTCTGGGCTGCCGGCAAGTCTGCGAGAGCGGAGTGTGTAAGGACTGGGCTGCAGGCTGCGTGCCACTCCTGTGTTGTCAGGGTCTCCTGCTCCCTCGAGGGGCTCACAGTCCAACCACAGTCACCTCAAAGAAAATTTGGAGAATTTTTGGCAAAATATAATAAATATCTCTGTTTCTCCACCTGCAATTAAATGGTTAACATGTAGCTATGTTGCATTGTCTTCTTCAAAAAGAAAGGAAGTGGGGCAGACAGGTCAGGGCCCCTCTGACCGCTCCCAGCCTCACCCCTGTCCCCCGACACACACTCATGGATCCGACGTCTGCTACTTTGGTCCCTTGAAAAAGCATTTATACACACATGACCATGAGTAGTAACCAGATTGTTTTAAAGTGCACACATGTGACATCTTTCTGGAAACTGCTTTATTCATCCAGCATTGAGTGTCCGTGGCTCCTTCCCACTAACGTGTGTTTGCGATCCATTCCCTTTCTCTGCTGCGTGGAAACCTGCCTTAGGACTCGGCCACTTTGTCTTCATCCGCCCTTTCCTTGATGGATCCTTGGTTGTTGGCAAAGCATCAATAATGCAGAGAATGCCGCCGAGCGGGTCTTGGAGCCTGTCTCCTCGTACCTGGGAGATGTGTGTACACCTGGCCCTGAGTGGCTGGGTCTCAGAAGGTTCCAGATCCTGGCCCCGGCTCTCTGACGCGTCTGGACCTACCTGTGCTGCCCTCACTGGCCAGAGATTGCCACTTTGTCCGTGTGTGTCCACACGTGTCCACGAGGGCACGGAAGGGTGGCAGCCGGCCACATCTGATTCCCCAGCTCCTGTGTGTCTTTCGTCCGTGTGCAGGCTGGACTCTCCTGCTCGGGAAAGTAGTCTGTACCTCAGAAAGATTTAGGGCAAGAAGGGAAACCTGTGTAACCCGTGTACTTGTGAGAAAGAGAGAAGGGGGTGGGGGAGGGAGGGAGGAAGAAAACCATTCACCAGTGTTTGGACTTTCTTGTTGGGCCCCCACTGCGTGGACCCCACTTCACGAGCGATCCTGACCCACAGGCTCCGTGGTGGAAGGCTGAGCAGTCGTGCCTGGGGCATGATCCCTTGCTGCCCTCCGAGGCTCCGTGGCTGTTTGGGCCCTCCGCCTGTCCTGGCAGGACTAGGGGTCCGGAAGCAATGTGGGGGCCCCTCACCTCTGGCAACTGGCAGTGAGGCTGGTGGTACTCACATTTGGCCATGGGGTAGCCCCTGGAGGTGGGAGAACGGGCAGGGGCGCAGACCTGGGGGCGCCTGCAGGGCTCAAGACCTGGGCTCCGGTCCCCTCTCTGGCACTTTGCTGAACCAGCCCCTGGGGCGAGAACACCCCCCTTACCCCCTCGAGGATCCTGCTGCAGTGGGCTCCGGAGGGTTTCCTGGGGCTGTACAAAAGGGCCGTAGCCATGAAAGAGCTCACGTCGCAGATGGGGAAACCGAGTCACCCAGTGGCTCACCGCACAAGGGCAAGGACAGGGTGGCAGTCACAAGCCACCCCGTGCCGGGTTCCCTGGGCTCAGATCCCGTGTGTGCCAGCGCGCAGTTGTTTGCCTCCAGGGTCACTGGAAGGAGGTTCCGGGAGCCTTTACTGTCCTAAGCCCCCTGCCTGTCCCTCCTGCTGCCCGGTCCTCCCCAAGCGAGGCTGGAGCAGGAGCAGAGCACACCCACCCGCGCCTGTGCTCCTACTTGGGCTCGAGGAGAACCAGCAGTGGCAACAACTCCGTTTATTAAGCCAATAAAATCTCAAGTTCATGAGCTGAGGGTTTCCTGGCCTGAGCCTGGCAAGCTACTTGGGATGGGCGGCATGTCCCCATCCTGGGAAGTGTCCTGTCACCCAAGAGCCAGCTGCCATCGCCCCTGCCCTCCGGGGGGCGGTCCACACCCTGCCCGCCGCGGCCTGTCCCTGGCAGAGGTGCTCAGGCCGAGCCTGTTGGTGTCTTCGTCACCCAGCCTGGACTCAGGATGCTGCTCACTCCGCCTTGTTCTCTGTATCTCTGAGCATCTCCAGTCCCCCTTCTTAAAGATCTGCTCGGTTCCTGTCTCCCCTGCACCACTCTCCCGCACTCCTTCTTTGTCTCTGGGACTTTTCCCGGGGTGCCTAATTCCTGGGGGCTGCCTCGGCTTCAGGGACGTGGCCCCACCTCACTGCACAAACAGAACCCTGCGAATCGATTCTGAAAACGATCAGTCACAGTACAGTAGTGCTGCTAACTGTGGCATTTTGCTTTGCGGTTATTGATACATCATCGGGACTGAGAAGCCAGTTGGGGGGTGGGCGCAGGGTGGGGCACAGAGGACGGGGCGTGGAGACAACTGTCCTGCAAATGTCGGGGAGTGCCGCTCTGGCTGCAGGGGTGGATCTGAGGCTCGAGAGGAAGCTGGTGCCGGGCTGGGACTCAGGGCCAGTGCGTCCCGGGGCTCGTGACCCCGTAGTCCTTGCTCCCCAGAGATGGCCGGCCCCTCGCTGCCTTCCGTGCCTTCGAAGGGCCCAGCTTCTCCAGAAGTGCAATCCAGAGAGGCCCCAGGGGTGCTGAAGCAGCCATGGTTCTCCAGAGAAACAGAACCAGTAGGAGCTAGCTGGCTATCTACCAATCCACCTATCTATACCTATAGCTACCTACAGAGAGATACAGAGAGATAGATAGATGATGGGTGATAGATGGATGGATGGGTGATGGATGGATGGATGGATAGGTAAAGAGAAGAGATTTGTTTTAAGGAATTGGCTGGCTCAGGTTTTGATGAGCGAGGTTAAACATAGATAAACTCTGCAAGGTCTGTGGGGGCTGCAGGTCCTGGTCAGCCCCACACCCCCAGACTCTGGCCCAGTGCTGGGGAACCCAGACGGGTAATGGGGGTGATGCTGGTGACCTGTCCCCAGCAAGGCTCTGTTGACTACAGAGGAGCGCTGGGGCCGGTGCTGGGGACAGGTGACATGGGCCATCCTGCAGTCGCTCTGCTCGTTGCCAGCCAGACCCCATGGGCCATGCCCCCCCCGCAGGTCCTGGGGCCCGGACTGATACTGTGCATCTCACCACAGGACAGCGGTGAGTGGCTGGGAGCCTCGAGGTGCGAGCAGGGATGCTCCGTTACAACTTCTCCCAGCCCGACGCTTCCTCGGCTGCATCGTTCAAAAGATGCTGTTCCCATGACGCTCTGTCCTGTGATATTTTTAATCAAGAGCGCGGGAGAGCATGCGTCTGATGCACGTTCAGAGATTGAAAATGGTTTTGTTCTCATGTTTTCTTTCCCAATTCAGTGTTAAGTCAGAACGGCCAGAGGAAGATCCTGCCAGACTTTCCCCTGAGCTGGTCTGCAGGCCCCTGCAGCCGGGAACCTGTCCCAGGAGCCGTCCGTCCGTCCGTCGGCAAACAGGTGCGTGCCCCTTCACATCGCACTTCCTGCTCCCCCGGAGCTGGTTTGTGGGCTGGGGCTTCTCGGGGTGGGGGGGCGCTCGGGGGCCAGGGGGTGGGCCGGGGGCCGGGGCGGTTCCCGGCTCTGGGTGGCAGTATCCGCAATGTGGTGTCGCTGCGTCAGCTGGGGGAGCTGTGGTGGGTAGAGAGGAGGGTCCCCGTCTGTGTTTTTCACCTGCTCTTACTCAGTCTCATCACTAAAATGCAGATCAGTGAGTGTATAATAATTAATAGACTGATCAGCTGGCGAGGGAGGTAAGTAGATAAATAATTTTAATCATCCTTGGGTTGCCCATAAATTCCCTCACTGCCTTTTTATTAAACTCTGTGTTTACTGGAGTCATTCATATTGCATGCCATTTTGCAAATCCCTTCCTTGGCGTCTCCCACCAGGTCTGACCTGGAGTGGAGGCTTCACATGACAGCCAGGTCTCTTGCCAGCAGGGCCCGGCTCTGGTACAGGTTTCCAGAAGCTCTGCCCAAGGAGTAGAGATGGGGGGCAACAGGGCAGATGGTGCTCAGCTCGCCAAGGCCCACCCTCTGCCCCCCAGCATGGCCGAAGCTATATTTAGACCGGCTCAGAAACCTTTATTATGCTTGGCCTTTGTGCTGTAGGTATGAGCTCATTCTCCTCCCCAGGGATGGCCTCCGCCTATGAATAGCCTTGGCTGAGGCTTCCTCGTGGCTCCGAATGCCAAGAGAGAAAGTGGGTTAATAAATATAAAAGAAAACTCCCGTAAGAGGGCCTGGGGCCAAACTGTCTCCCGGACTCTCCAAGAGTGGTGGCTGATGGGGCCCAGAGGGGCGCAGGGTTTCCTCCACCCCATCCTGTCCTCCTCCACCCAGAGGTCCAGTGCCTGGCTGGCAGGTTTGAGGACCAGTGTCAGAGAAGTCTCCAGGCTTCCCGGGAGCTGGACGGTGGAGGCGCAGGTGGGAAAAGCTGCCATCTAGGTGGGGCAGAGGAGGGGGTTCAGGTGTGGCCTCGGAGCATCTGGTGGCTGAAGGAGACAGGGAGGCGTCCTTGGCTCTCCTGCCCCCCCCTTCCCACCTGCACCGTCTCTCCACTGGTTTTTGCTGGCGACCTTGGGTACCTGTAGGATGGAAAAGAAGTGGGGGAGGTGGCCCTTGGGATGGTCGCTAAACAGGATGCCTCTCTTCTCACCTTTTGCCCCACTCCCAGAGTCTGCAGTAAGGATAGCTCCCCTGAGTTAGAATCCCCTACACAAAGAGAGTAGCATCCCAGGGAACAGAGCAGGGAGGGGACAGGGAAGCTCCCTGAGGACAGGTGTGCCCAGGGTGCCCACTGCACGAGGCAGCACCCGGCATTCTTCATAGCTGTGCGGGCTGCGCCTGGGCTGGTGCATTTGTAGCTAGCCCTACAGAGAGCCCTCGGGCCAGGGAATGGGTCTGTCTCTGTCTTGTTTATTCTCAGCCTGGTGCTGTGCGGGCTCACTCCTAGAATTTGTGCTCCTTAGGGTGGGAGTGGCGCAGGAAGGCCCCTGCCACCCCGCTCCTGGTGGCCAAGCTGAGCCTCCTCCTGGGGACATGGCCGCCGCAGAAAGTTCTCTGCAGAGCATCCAGCCCCCGTTGGGTAAAATCTCTCCGAGTGAAATGAAGTCAGACCGTGGGTGTTGCTGGGTTTACGCAGTGTGCCTGTCCCTGGCTGCTCTCATGGGACAGCTGATGAGAGCAGAGTCTAGGTGGCCTCCTGCTGCTTCCTGGGCTGGACGCAGGTGTCCACAGCAGGCCGCCTGGATGGTCTGCTGGGCTCACGCCCCCTGGTCGTGTGTCCTCGGAGGGCGGCTGTTTGCCCGGGGCAGAGAGGGCAATCAGGCTGAACAGGTGGAAAGGCCTTTTTAAGTTCCACTCGGTGGAATTCAAGTCTGAACGATGGCCCAGTGGAGGCTCCCTGCCCTTTCAGGAGTTTATTTAGCGACGAGCTGCATGCCAGCCCTGCTGTTTCCTGGACCCACTGGCTGAGTGGGAGGAAGCCCGGCCAGGGAAGAGGCAGAAAGAGCTGATGGGGCAGCTTTTCCAAACGCTGCGTCCCTCTGCTCAGGTCAGGGCAGGCTGGAGGGGCGGTCAGCAAGCCCGCTTTAATTACGGTCTGTCCCGGGTGGGCAGACAAGGGGACAGGACGGGGAGCACAGGGAACCCGAGAGCAAGGCCCGTCGGCACAGCTCCGCGTCTCGCTTCTCTGGTCGTTCGGTGGACATTTTTAGGGCTTCTTACCTGTTTCTGTTTGGGGGAATTGGGGTCAGGTGCAAAAAAAAAATAATGAATGAAAGGCAGGAGCAAACCAATGGTCACCCAGTGACAGACACCACAGCAGGGCCCCTGGTGATCTGGGGCTGCTGGTCCTCGAGAGGAGCCTGGTGGGGAGGGGGTGCTTCCCCTCTCTCTGTCAAGAGGCCTGTAGCTCCTTGGGGTGTTCACATGACCGCTGAGCTTGAGCCTCACCGCCCCCCCGCCCATGAGGCCCCGCAGCCAGGAAAGGAGGGGCCGCCACCGGCATGCACACCTTCTGGGTCTCCTGACCCCTATTATTTAGCGACGCTCAGTGCGCCCAGCACAGAAGTGCTCCCGAGGGTGCAGCAGGCCTGGCTGTGGGGTGTCGTGCCCGATGGGCCTCCACAGGCCAGGGGCTGTGCAGCCCAGGGAGTGGGGCCTCCAGGCAGGGTCCCCCGGGCGGGCCCGGGAAGCTGAGTGAGGGCATCATCACTGGGGCCTGCTTGTGTCCTTGGCTTGGAGTCCACTCTGGAGGCATTTGTGTGCGTGCCCACATGTGCGTGAGATGGGGAGGGCTGGCTCCAGGCTGGCGAGGACTTCCTGTCTTAAAAATCCCTTCCTAACCCGAAATGTGGGGAAAGCAGGAGGAAGGTGCCACTGTGGCCCAGCTGCCATCACAGTAGGAACTCATACTGTGTCACGTGGTGTCACACCCATGGGGCGCCATGGGACATCCAAGCTGAGGGGGTTGGGGGCCGTCTTGACCAGCTCCTTCCTTTTTTGGCTGAGAAGGCGACTGGGCTTGTCCCAGGGCTCACAGCCAGTGGTGGAGGCTGCTGCGTCCCACTGAGGACCTTTGTGGGCTGGCCCCACCGGTTCTGCTGTCACTGCTGTCAGTGGTCTCCTGTGCCTGGTCCACCTGTCGGCCGGACAGGTGTGCTCCTTTGCTGTGTCTGCCTCGCCTTCCTAAACTGAGCCCCCCAGGCGCCATCGGGTGGGGGAGTGAGTGATGATTGATTACAAACAGCGGAGCGCTGCCTCCTGCTGGCCTCACCCTGGCCCTGACCCCTGACCCCCCGGCAGGCCCTGCCCAATCGGCACTGGCTGAGAGCAAGGGCCACGTCGCGGTCAGGCTGGCCCCTGGCTCCCTAAGCCCGGAGTGTCCACGCAGTGAGGGCGTAACCTGTCAAGAGAAAGGGCGTGAGGGAGGAGCCAAGTGCAAGAACTTAGTTCTCCGGCAGACACGGGTGGGTGGGGCACAGCCCTGCCCGAGAACAGGACTCGGGACCTCAGGGCGAGCTCAGTGCTGCAGCCGAGAGCCACCCGCGCCTCCAGGGAATCTCGGAGCCGGAATCAGGAGGGCGGCCCTTTGGTTTGTCTTCCTCCCCTGGGGCTGGAAGGGCCTACAGGCCTTCCCTAGGATCATTGCTCTTCTTTTTTAAATTAAAACGAACTTTTCATTAGTACACCAACAATAGATTTGTAGAAAGTACAGACAAGAAAACGGTACCTTCAGGAGCGCGTGTGCAGCTGGATTTCCACCTGGTGTTTAACGACCGAGCATTCCTTCATTGCGTAGAGGTGTCCTAATTCACTATCCCTTAGGTGTGCTTCCAAGGACCAGGACAGGCATTAGCCTGTGACCCTGTTTCCAAAACTCTCTGCCACACTTCAAGAAACCAGAAGATTAATTTCCCAAATAGGAATTAGGAGATGATTATTCACACTACAGAGGAATCTGCAAACATACCCTCCAAAGAGCTTCTTTGATAAATGGGCTCCTCCGGGGCATTCAGACATGCTCAGATGTAGGAGATCCCAATTCATATCCAAATGCGTGGATTTGGTTGCTTCCCGCTGCCTTGCCTTCCTTCCTTCCCGGGTGCCCCACACCAGCACGTGCACACCCACACCCAGGCACGCTCCCACACACAGGCGTGTGCACGGCACACATTTGGAAGCTTTTCCCCGTGGTCGGCTGAAAGGTGATGATAATTTCCTTCATCGTGAATCACATCTATTTATTAGGTGGCCTGCTCCCAGCAGCCGTTACTGGGGAATACACCATCATTTCTCTCTAAAGGATAAAGGGAAGTCGCCATTGGCGGCAAGGTGAGGGAGGTCAGTGACCCCGGGCCATGCAACTTATAATTTAATGAGACGGATAAATCTCAGAAGAGACTTAGGGGACTTTTAATAAAGCCAGATCCGAAAACCCCAAATCCCAGCCTGCAAATTGGCGTCCACGGGCTCGGCACTGGGGGGAGGCATGGTGGCGTCACCGTCCATGATGCAGGGCTGTAAGCTCCCCTCAGAGCATCTTCGCCCTGACGAGTCATCTCCACCCAGGGCCCAGCCACGGGGACGGTGCCCACAGGCAAGGCCTTTGTGTGTGTTCATACAACCTGATACCCAACTATCTGCAAATGTTTCCAGTGTTTTTGTATTCAGTTTCAGACCACTTGGATGGTATTTGTAGTTTTGGTCAATCATATATATAAAATATATACATATAATGTATATATTTTTAGAATAATTTATTGAGTTAAAATTCATATAACATAAAATTAACCCTTTAAAGCAAACAATTCAGTGGCATTTGGCACCCTCGCTATGCAGTACGACCACCTCCTCTGTCTAGTTCCCGAACAGTTCCATCGCCCCTGAGTAACACCCCTCACTCAGGCGTGTGTTTATTAATATTCAGTTACTTTGCTTTAAAAGGTGCCCTGC